GGGTTCCCCCCCCCCCCCCCCCGGTCTGGCGTCCAAAGGGATGCCGCGGTGGTGTCAATAAGAATGTGATTGTCATATAACAACGGAAGGGTTGGGGGAAGGGGTTCCCTATCGTGTGACGTCAGGGGCTGCCTCTCCACCTTTCCCGTCGTCTGCTCTGCCCCGCCCCCCGAGGGAGGGGTCATTTATGCATGCAAACGAGTGGATGCATGCTACCGATGCGGTGATACGTTTGGCTCGGAAGGGATCGACGACGGAGATGTGTTCCAAGCTCCGTTCCTTTTTTCCTTTTTTTTTCGTATGCAGTCACAATTCATCGAGTAATTAACCGGTCATCACGTTACCGATCGCGATCGGAGTTGCATGACGGAAAGTCCGATGAGTCGTGTTGGTCGTGTAATCCAGCGATCTGCCTAGTGATTCTCATACCGTACCATGTACCATATGAATACGACATCAGAACGACTTATTGACGGCCAGGAATCAGAATGCAAAAATCAATGCATTTATTTATTCCTTTCTCTATACACTGGTAACCGCGCGAAACAAAATGATTAGAACCAGAGAGACCATTTGCCGAGCAGTCCGGTTGAAGTGTCTGCTCTCTAGCTGGTGCCCTAAGAGCGAACTTTGCTTCACCGGCCAGCGGACTCCTGGGAGTCCTGAAAGTGTAGAGGAAAAAAATTGTTAGGACTACCGGAAAGACATTTATTTTTGTGGCGTGGAAATAAAACTCACGGAGTAGTGATCTGGTGACGAAGACTGGGAATCAAAAGCCATGTGGCAAGGTGGAGAAATCGGTTCGAAGGACTCGCTTGTCGTACACCACCTGATACCTTTTACTCTCTTCTTTCCTGATGACCCTCTTCCCTCTCTTGTCACGGGTGATTTTTTTTTTACCGTTGATGACGGCAACTTGCTCTTCCTCGTGGATCTTTTGCCTCTTGGCTCCCGCCTTCATAGGTTGCTAGGTCGATATGAGGCGATGCATTGTGTCAAATGTGATCCTTTTTGTGGCCGAGTAGTCGAGGGTGAAACCACGGACTTTCAGACACTCCTTCCCCCTTGGGCTCAACCCATCCTCTAAGAAACATTCGAACCTAATGTTGTGACTCATCGGCAGTGTAGGCAGTGCCTACCCAGTTTACAATCAGAGTTCTCTAATTAATATTTAATAAATAATTCCTCGATTAACACAGCTGGAAATACTTTTTTTTCCATTGCGAGGTAAAAGCAAATCGAGATGATGCGTCCAGAGTAGGCACGGCGCTGCCTGCCTGCGCTGGCTAGGCTCAAATTCCCTCGAGCCTAATGCAGGAACGAGAAGAGGGAGAAAAGGAAGAGAACCACAACACTGGAATGAGCGAGGGTAGGCTTGCCTACGGTGCGCAGTTACTCGTTGCGCAGGAAGGAAGGTTGAGAATCGCTTGCTCACGCCCTCTGCTCAGAAGCATGTGCGTGTAGAAGCCTCTGTGGTGTCACACCTGATCAGACCTATTCTACAGTATTATGCAGACTGAATAAGGAATCATTTTGAACAGGCTTCTGTCGATCTCAGTTCCCTATTCCTACCCCGCATTCATAGCTCTCTTTGGAAGAGGCACTGTTTCTATGTGATATGTTTTGTTGGATTGACAGTGCTTCGCATCCCTGCGGTGTCTTCCAATGATATAGTTGCATTCATTGAAGCTTTAAATCTTCGTCATGTATCCTTTTAGATGCAAGTAATTTCCTTGATGGCTATTTCTGATTATGCTAGAATTGGATTTACAATTTTTGAATGGGAAAATCCTAAACTTATGTCAAGCCAAGGGGTGAGGGGGGAGGTGACCCTCAGAAGAGACTGGAGAATTGTGGGTGGGGGAGCAGTGGCGGATAAAGGGGGGGCGACAGCCCCCCCTATGACCAAGTTTGCATTTGATTTATTTATTCAAAATAGCATCTGCATTAAATTTATTGGAGCCAGTGAAATAGATACTCAAGTTCTTACCCCAGACGAAAAATAAAAAGGTGAAAGGACAAGGAATGGTGGCAGGCGGTGGGAGTGGGGGTAAGGTAGGAGCTTGGGAACCGCCCCCCAATGAAAAATTTCTGTATCCGCCCCTGTGGAGGAGGGGATGCTCAGCGAGGTTGAGAGAGGAGCGAATGTGCCTGCTACTATCATAAGAGGACGCTCGATTGGTCAATATGGATAGAAATGGGGATCATATGGGTGCAAAGGAATCATTTGAGGGTGGCCGCACCCCCCTCTTTTTTTTTTTGCACCACTGCTGCCTACCCAATTTTCTTTACCCACAAGCCGCCA